ACACACACACACACACACACACACACACACACACACACACACACACACACACACACACAGGATGGTCTCAGTGCAGCCGGTTTCCCATCTGTTTTTTCAGGTATTCCCCTGTGATCGTCAGATTCCAGCTATAGGGCTTGAATTTCTGCAGCACTGCAGGAGTGACTGTGATACTTCATTATACATCAGAAACTATATCTCAAGCTGCATGGTTATGGACTTTAGTTCATGACACAGAGGTTTAACATACCTCTGTGGTAAAAAGGTCAAAGTTAGCCCTTTTAGGTCATTTTATTATTTGGTCAACTTTCTTTTTAATTCAGCAATCAGCAGAATAAAATGTAATCTTCCAAAGATTTTCCAGTTATGACATTACACATCTGAATCCTCAGGTATTTTTTAACATCCACATCACTACATTCAGTATTTTAACACCAACGTAGAGCCGAGAAAATCACAATAAACCACACAGCATTGATAATTATCAGGTGGATTAAGAACCATATTAATTTGCAGCTGTAATGACTATGATGAATGCTTTAATTTAGGCTGCAATCATATTGACGGTAACAAAATAAGAAGGTCTGAGCTAGCAAAAGTCCATCATCACTATGTAAGAAAACACTTACAGAGATCTTTGACTACTTACACACGTTGGCCTTAGTATGTTGTTGTTTCTCTGGTCCACTAAAAGTGTTTGTGAGGTGAAAACATCTAATTGCTTTTTAAAAAATATACATTTATTACATTTTACACTTAGGCATGTTGCCATTTTGTTACTTGCATTCTACGGATGAATGATGTGTTGCAGTTGAGACTAAAGACCCAAGGCTAAAATGCTTTATTGTGTGACAATAAAAATACTATTTTTCTATTACTTACTGTGTTCTGCACAATATATGGGTGGAAATGATCAACTGTGATGTTTAGTAAAGTTAGTTTAGTTCTGGAGCTAACACTAAATATGAATATTACTCATAGATATGTGCTCCTAAGCTAATTATATTAGCGTTAGCTATTGATTAAATCATCTTAGCTCAGGAACTAGCGCGCACACACACACACACACACACACACACACACACACACACACACAC